CTGAAACATTTTTCCCACTACAAACAAGTTTGTGGGCAGTACTTCAAACTTAGGAAGTGCAGTATGTCTTTATTGCCATCTTCCTAGCTAATTCCAAAGGCTATAATGAAAAAATATCTCAAGGATTTGGAACTCAATTTTATTAATTTAATTTGGTTAAACATATAGGGACTGAAAAGCCTCTCTATTTCTTCCTCCCCAAACGAGCATGGGGTCATTTAAAACAAGTTTGTGGGCAGTACTTCAAACTTAGGAAGTGCAGTATGTCTTTATTGCCATCTTCCTAGCTAATTCCAAAGGCTATAATGAAAAAATATCTCAAGGATTTGGAACTCAATTTTATTAATTTAATTTGGTTAAACATATAGGGACTGAAAAGCCTCTCTATTTCTTCCTCCCCAAACGAGCATGGGGTCATTTAAAAGTCTATTTCCTGCTGTTTTGTTTCATATCATCTTCATACAAGTACCACAATTCTCCTTTGAAAATGACCAATGGTCAACAAGTCTCAGAGCGAGATGTTATTGATCTCTAAGTTAGAGTTCTCCTTTGCTTATCTTGTTCTAAGCAAGTGGAATTTCCCTTCACAATTCCTAAGCCTTGTGACAACAGCTCAACATTCCCCTGTGGCTGTTTCAGCAAACACAAATGTGAACACTAAATGCTAGGTTAAATCTCCCTCTGCATCGCTCTTCCCATTTCTGTTAACTGGGAAGAATCCTTCACAACTCTCTCTTCCAAAGCCCTGCATGGAAAGCTTCAATATACACCAAGCTTGAAGAACAGTTCCTGAAAATCTTCTGGTGCTGCTGCAGTCAGAGATTTCTCTTGATACCCGAGCACTATTTGCATTCCAGGCATTCCCTTCTGATGAACTGTACTTACTGCTTTTTGGCTCCCTACCTGCCACAGTCACCCTCCACCAGAATCTGAGCTGCACCTAGCCAGAAACATTGCTGCAGCTCTGCCATCCAGCCTCACAAAAATCCACATCACTCGAGTACCACACAGACAGCAGCTGTAATGACAAGATCTCCAGCTCTATCTGCTGCCCTTGATACCATCTGCTGGTGCAGAGCACAGCCACACAGGGGCTGCTTGTGTGAGACAGGTCTGGATACAGCTCTGTAGGCCTGAGTCCAATCTACAGTCTAACTGCCTTTGGAAGCCACATGTGGGCAGATGTGAGACTCCCAATAGTTGGCCCAGTGCTAGCAAAGTGTCAGTTCATCCCTAACTTGCACATCAGAAACCTACTCACCTAGCTTTTTAGTGCCCTGCAGCATGGCCTGACAATCAGGGTATGGCAAGGAATGCTCAGGCACATCACGTTAAACAACAACAAATCCACCTAGTACACCCCACCGTTCAGAAGTGCACTTCCAGTTCCAATTTCCCATCCGTGAAAACAATGGACAATGGCACAAAGCTCTGCAGTGGTATCAGACTCAGCCCATGGAGGGAAAAGCTGCCTCCTCCTTCCCAAGCATGGCATGTTTTGGCCAGAGAAGAAGGCAAGTACCTGTTCTAAACCACCACCACTGCCTACATCATTAAAGTCAACTTGCAGTGACAGTTAATCTGAAATAGGAGCTATGAACCAGACATTGCTAACAAAATAAGAGCTCCATATAAAACAAAGATCCTGACAAAACCCAGACATTTAGCAAGCCAACTCAGCTACAGTTTCAACATTAAGTAGAGTTTAAACTTTTATGGAAACAAAGTTGTTCCTGCAGATGGATCACAGCATCACAACCACTGTGCCATCCTGACCTAATGAGGAACAGAGAACTGAAGGGCAACTATTTAACGTTTATTTAATTTATGTACCTCTATAAAAAGCTATCTTATTTTTACTATCTCTAAAAATGTTCCTTCCCATTTATGCAAACAGATAGGCAATAACATTGACAGCCTCATAGGTCCTTTTTACTTTGGTTGCTAAGTTTCCCACCCAGTAGAACCCAAAGCCTATCAGTGAAAAGGGGAACACAGTCTTTGATATAAATCCTTCTGTAATCTGGAGTGATCCTTCACTAAATCACCACACCCTACACTGGGCTGTTTAAATACAAAGAGAAGCACAACACACAAGACCTCAACATAAAGTCCATCACAAGGCTGTAAGCACCCAGAACCTACCCACATTCTTTTCTTTCTACCTCCCCCAATACACTGACTGTTAAGGAATCATTTGCAGTGCAAGTCTGCATTGTGTTTTCAAGCCAGAAATAAACAATAGCTTCCATTTTCTCCAGACACCTCCCAATGAGACCAATGAAGCTCCTAGATACACAAACTCAGCACAAGAAAAGGCAGAGAAAAAAATAAGGGGGGGAACCACATCCAAGCTTTAGAATGTATGCCACTCCAAATGAGGAAATTCGTGTTCTCTGGTATTTTTGCTCAAATCTACTCTATCTAAGGTTTGCAGAAGGACAAGACACAACCTCATCAGGTGAAATGTTTCTAGCCAGCACCTCAGAGCTAGATTAACCTCTCCCAAGAGACAACTTAGCTTCACAATTTGATACAGCCACATATCCTGGCAACAGCATTATCTGCAAGATCAACAATAGCCACTTAATGAGGTTCCTTTTAATTTTTCTCACCAAGCACACAAAATATTTCCCACCCACAAGATTCCATGTTTAGCCACTGTTAAATACAAAGCATTCATACCTGCAAACAAAAGGCCATACTGATCCAGGCTTGTTCCTGGCTACCCTTGCTCTGCACCCACTCACACCAAGTTCTTATCAGTCAGATTTCTCAGAGATGAAGACCTATCCCCTTTCACAAGGCTGCTCTGCAGCAGTGAAAATAGTGTCTCATCAGTCAAAGAACTGTGTCCAGTGCAAGGACAGTGCTATGAGACCTTTCTGCTTTTTAAAGTAGCCATCTGTTTACAAGACAGCCCAGGAAAACCGTGAAGTGGTAAGAATTGGAGAACGTTTTCCAGCACGCAGGTTGACAGAGAAAGTATTGCTATTTTCAGCAGACAGAAGAGAGCACAGAAGGTCACATGCCAGAATAAATGAAGGACTAACATAAGATCTCTTACACAAGAGCAGCATCTTGCAGATAAATACCAGTGCTCTCTTCTGCTGAACTGAAAGCTTCTGCAGCCATCAAAGACCACACAGAGATCCCAGTTCAAATTGTGCTTTAAAACTAACATCACACAAGAAATATGAAATTATTTTGTGACATTCTTACCAAAATTTCAAGGGCAGTAGAACAGAAATTACATTGTGAGTGGCTGAATATAGGCACAGAGCTGATGCAAATACACAGCTATAGACCTCTCTACAAAGCACCTCCCTTAAGTTCAGCAGTTCTACAGATTGTCTGCTTGAAACAGGAGGAGCAAGCTCTGGTCAGCAGAGTACATTCACATCTGCCCCACTAAATTTAACTCCTGAGAAAAAATGTAATTACACAATATCTGTGTTGAACTCTGAGTCAGTACACCATGGAGATAACCAAAGACAGTGAAGAGGGAAGCAAAAAAAGGAAAGAGGGGGTGAGAGACAGGGAGAAGAGAAGAGCAAGCAGCAGCAACATAGGTACTAATGCAGGGACACTTGCAAAACCACTCAAAGAACCTCAT